CATCATCTCTCTCCTGTCAAACCCCAACAATGGTTTTAAATGGTGTGGCGGCCCTACTCACACTGATGGTGGATATGCGGAGAATAGCAGGTGGACGGATACTGAGCAACTACGTCCATACGTGTTAAGGTGAGAATGACATTTCCAACACTTGTATTGCATACCGAATATAGCAAAACGCGAGAAGACGGTGTGATCCAAGAAAGCTAGAAACGTTTCCATATGCTGCACGATAATATTATTGAGTGTCACCCTAATTTACACAACACATGGAGCTAGGGGCACCGTAGTGGGGAAACGTAGCTCGTTAATAAATACATTCATGAAATTTCCGTTTCCAACAGCATATCCTCGTGGCTTTGTCATTCGAGAATCAAGGTGATGGTTAAATTAATTGCCGGAGAGCTTGTTTCGTGACCTGGGTGCCCTTTTTGAGTGTGACAGCAGCACATCGGTTAGGCCACAGTTGTGGCGCTTGGTGGTCAGAGCTCTTGTTTGTTCCCAGGGGCTTTGGCCCCACGAAGGAGCTTCCAGAGGCACTTTGAGCGGCTGGAGGAGCGAGCGAGGCACAGCTTCTCCCCAATGTTTGACTTCGTGCAGAATTCAAGGAGTTCCAGCAGGGCGGGTGTCCTTATCTTTGGTCACAGGTACTGTGATAAACTCTCTCAATCGTTGTTCCATCTTACTGGTTGCCAGCGAGGCCCACGCCTTTCCTATTCCGCTCTCAGGATGTTGCGTTCGGTTTTTTTATTGCGTCAGATGTCAAATGTTTTTTTTTTATGAAATCTTTAGACGTTTTGAGGTTTTCCTTCCAGCTTACATAAATGGGGGCTTCGGTTGCTTTTTGTCCGTTAGCCTGGCCAAGTGTGGGCCTTCCGAGAGTTCAAACTCAACGGCAGTTATGAGCGGTCTTCAGTCGTCCCAATGTGCGCCGCCGCTTACCGCTCTTGCCTCGAATTATTTGCGGGGCAATTCGCGGCTTCCCCATTGTTGGCCCTTTTGGAGATGGAAGCGTTAAGTCGTGGTCCGGTTGTAGTCCGTTTACCATCGGGCTGGGTGAAATGTGCCCAGCTGTGTATGGTCATATAAACAAGCAATGTGTCTTGAGCCCCCCCCTGCCCCCCCCCCCCCATTGTGTGCGTGTGGTGGCGATTGAAGTCAACCCGCCCACGTCTGTGGTAGCCACGTGAGTGACTGCTGGCAGAAGTGATGATGTCCGATTTAGTATTCGGGTGGTACAGACGTTTTGTCACCCCCAATTAATGTACCCCCCCCCTCACTTTTTGTTAGCATATTAATTTCTGTTTTAAATCAACCTTACTTGAAAAAAAATTGGTTTAGAGATTTAAATGTAGGTCACAATACATCTGGACCACCATGAACGTTGATCACCGTAACCGTGACCATCTGTCACGGTCACCGTCGATGCGCCATCGCCAGCGACGGTGACCTTGAGAGGTCACGCAGAAGTCCTTCGGGGCCTTTAGGGTGGCGGCTGGGCGCAACGAGGGTGCTGTGTGGCCGTTCAGTTTCGTGACTCCGCCATCCGAGTGCTGTCCTCCCACGCACGGCCCTCCTGTAATGGGACGACCTCAATCTTAACCCTCCTCCCCCCTGACTCTGGCTTCGAGGGTGCTGTGTGGCCGTTCAGTTTCGTGACTCCGCCATCCGAGTGCTGTCCTCCCACGCACGGCCCTCCTGTAATGGGACGACCTCAATCTTAACCCTCCTCCCCCCTGACTCTGGCTTCTCCTGGCCGGGAAGCCAAATCTCATTTACGTCTTGAGTTCACTCGAATGGCCCCTTAGCAGGGGGTTTTATTTCTTATTTCGGCTTTTAGCGCTCTAATGGGGTCATATGTGGATTCAGATTAACGACGACCATTTCACCTCGATGGTGGTATTGCGTTTCACGTAACACGAAACCCTGTGACAGGACACAAAGCAGCCACCGCCACCACAATGCAGTTCACAAACAAGGCGTCTCTTCTTGTTTTCTCACGCTGCTCCACTCTGGAATTCCCGCATATCGCCTGTGTCGGTTCCAGCAAACGAGTTAACCCTCATCCGTTACATCTTAGCGGAGTGCTGTCTGCTGCTGGCCACTTGGCGTTTTGGGCCTGTGCTCGGCAACCGTGATATAAACACTCTACTGTATACATCACACACGTGAATTTGACTAAACAAATGCCAACACCCCAAATGTCCAACCCCAAACGCATCACGAGTAATGTTGTTGGGCCACTCCCTGGGTGTGGTAGCGTTGCAATAATTAAGCTCTAGGTGACCCCCCCCCCTCCCAAAATGACTACGAGTTGTCGCAATGTAATCGAGCTTCTTACGTAATACAATAACGTACATGGCCTAGCGGCCCACGCGTGGACTATGGGACTCTAAACAGCACGGCTGTGTGTGCTCAGATTTTAAACCATTTAATTATTATCTGCGCTGACAGTGATGCACAAGCACAATGAGCCAAAACTCAGCGCGAATGAAAAATACATTATTTAGTTATTTTTTTCTGGTTTTAGTTTAGTTTCATTTATTAGGCATAGCCATGTGAGCCATGCGGCTCTTGACTCGGGTGCAACCGCAACAAACAAAAACATGCACAAAGAACATCTTAGAGTGACGACGCGCAACAGAATCCAGGAAAAAAACCAGCAAAATCTTCCAGAAAAAAGCACCGTATATCAACGCTGTGTGCAAAAATCCCAGTGGGATGCATGTCAAACAATAACAACCATAAGACAATTGAGATTAAAGTTATCAGGCTAACTCCGTACTTCAACAAACACGCATGGCTTAACCATAGGTAATAGTCGACGTTTCGGGCAATAGGCTCTTTTTCACTCATATGCTATGAAGAAGGGCAATTTGCTGAAACGTCGCAGGCTGCGTGTTTGTTGTTGTTTGTGGGGAGCGGTGGTGCAGTGGTTGGCACGCTGCGCTACGAACCCGGCAACCCGAGTTCAATTCCCGCTCACGGCGACCAACGCCAAGTGGCGGGTATCTGAACCGATCCCGGACCTCCTACAGGTCGATTCCGTTTTAAAATGAGTACCTGGTGCGATGTGCAAACGTCGCCAGTAAGGAGACATACTCTTTGGTTCTATTCCGTTTTCTCAATGAAGCGCTGTCGTCCCGACAGTTCTGTTCCTTCACCTGAAGAAGGCCACTTGTGTTGTGGCCGAAACGTCGTGATTTTTGTCGTTTTTTTTTACCTACGTGACTTTACCGAAAAGAACCAAAGAGTATGGATCCTTGCAGTCACAAAAGCTTCAAATCTAGAATAAGTAAGGAGATTGTCGTGGTGCTGTCCACCCACCCCCTAGTGTGCCGTGCCGGCCTTTGAAGGTGGCTCCCTAACAGCACTTGCCCCAGCAGTCTTCAGTTAAGGCTCGACGGGGGGGGGATCTTTGTCTTTGTCTATACGCAACGTCACTTACAGTTGGCAAAAAACCATTGGCGAACCTTGCCCGCCGAGTTTTCGGCCCCGAGCTGCGTCGCCTTGTTCCGTGTGCGGACAGCTGCCGGGAGGGGTGCCCCCCCCCTCCCCTGCTCGGCTACAAACGGCGGCTGGGCATTGGAAGTGGTTTGAGATTAAATGTGCCGGCGCTGAGAGTCAGCCGAGGCGAGGACGCGCCCCCTGGACGTTAGGTGGTACTGTTCAATAAATATCTACGGCACCCTGTTTTGTTGTGTCAGTATCAAAAAATGATGATGATGAAACAAAACATCTGAATTAGCTTTAGCCCCAAGCCTGCCAATAACACAGGATGCGGTAAGATGTGCGAACACAAAATGATGTAGGTAACCTATCGCAAGGTATCAAGTCTGCATTAACTGCACGTACGTGTTGCAAAAGCATTGAAACAAACATGCGTTGATAAGGATGTTGGCCAACACCAACGCTACAACCTCCTTTATGGCCGAGTCTTTACACCGCCTGCGTTAGACCGGGGAACAACGCCAAAAGGCGAACAGTACAGTGCCAACGCAAGTATCAACGTATCAACAATAATTTAACGATTTAACATTTTTTTGTAATTTACCAGGTTAAGGTCCACTGAGCTACGTAGCAAGTTTTCAGAGAGACCTGGCCACCAAACGATAGCTCAACGAAGTGGCTTATCACGTGGACATTTATAGCAACCAAGTCCTCTTAAAATGCGTGACATTGATTCTAAATGTGGAGGGGGAAAACCCCGGAGGATCCGGAGGAAAAAAAATCCACGCGACCATGGGGAGAGGTACACACACGCTTCAAATATACAGCAGCAGGAGTCAGGGTCGGGACCGAACCCACGACCATCCTGCATACCAGGCGAGGGTAGTTAACGTCTCCTAGCCACCAGAGGGCTGGGTTGGCCACGTCATTATGAAAAGTACGGCTTGTATGCAGCTCAGCGCGAGTGTCGCGGATTAACCGAGTCCCCGGCGTGGGCTGCGATGGTCGTCCGGTCGCTGTAGCAGAGACGAACGAGGTCGGCAAAGGGGCGGGGGGTGTGGGGGGGGAGGGGGATCGCTGCTTGTGTTAGATGTGGCCGTGCTTCTCTCATTGTTGTTAATCGACGCTCGTGGGAACGATGAGCTGCACCACGAGCTCGTGAAAGACGATGGATTTCTCGTCCTTTGCACGCCTAACGAGCTCAAGGAATTGTTTGCTTTCATTTGTGACGACCATTAAGAAAAAATAAAAAAAACTATTGCTTTTCGCAACGCCACACGAAAGAAGAAGAATTGTTTGTTGTAACGTCCTAACCCGCCCCCCGACTGGACACCTGTCAAAAAAAGCTCTTATAGCTCCATCGGATTCCTCCAGAATTAAGTAAAATATTCTGATTCTGGCTATGGGAGGCCTTGACCCAGCAGTAGATAAATCATGGATGGTGATGATGATGATTATTTGAAATCCGTATGGGCGCGAGGTGGTGCAGGGTGTGGGGGAGAAGTTGGAGAAGTAGGAGGAGGACGAGAGGGGTTCGGAGCTGTCCTCACCTCGGTTGTGATCCGGAATGAGACCAAACTGCATCGACTGAGGTCGGTTCTCGATCATCGCACTCGTCCCCGTCGTGTGAGGCCGCAGTCCTCTAACAATCAAGCGACACAATAACGGCAATCGTGATGGTCAGCCGCACCAGTCCGGACTACTATCGCGGGGAATATTCGAACTGCAGAGACTACGCCACACATCTAACTCGCTCTTGCTCTCCTCGGATCGTTTACCTGCGCCGCCGTTTTTTCGAGTTGTGGGTTTGTTCCTTCGGCACGTTCGATGTTCCCATCCTCTACGAGAGCGGATTTTTTTTTATGCTTGCTGCGTTTACGGAATCTTCCGTGTGCAATGTCAACTGTCTCAACGGGATCATTACCATCATCGTCATCCGTGTAACGAATGCAGTAAACTCGAACTAAACTCAAGACTTTTCTACAACCTGTTGTGTTTATTATTATTATAGCAATATAGGGGAACAGCATAAATGATTATTACGGATAAGTATATATATACAGGGTGTTTAAAAACTATGGACCCGATTTGAAATCGCGATATCTCTGCAACCACGAACCGCCCATGAATGAAACTCTGACCACTTGAAAAGGCGGGGCATAGAGAGGGCGGGGCGTAGAGAGGGCGGGGCGTAGAGAGGGCGGGGCATAGAGAGGGCGGGGCATAGAGTTTTAAATGATTACCGCGAGATGCCTCTCCCAGCGCACAAACAGCCCCTAGCCTCAGTCATTCTCTAGATGGTGACCCCAGCGTACAAACAACCCCTAGCCTCAAGTCATTCTCTAGATGGTGACCCCACCGCAACACAAGGGGCGTTTTGCGTTCTGCAGTTCAGCAAGGCTGAATCCGTAATTGCAGGGCAGCGTGCGTTTCAACGGCGTTTTGGCATTGATCCGCCAATGTCAAAGAGCGTTCATCGTTGGTAGCGACAATTTGAGGAAACGGGCTGCTGTTTATGTAAGGGGAAGAGCACAGGGCGACCACGCACCTCAGAGGGAAACGGGAGAAGAGAGGCGTTTGGGACGAATTCAACTATCGTCTCGATGTTGTCCGTACACCAGGTGGAGGGCACATAGAGCATTTATAAAATGGTTATTAAAACTTGATAACTCGTTAAACCGTTTTTGTGTAATTGTAACATGTTGCCATCGTGAAATATACTGCTTTTAAATTGGGTCCATCTTTTTGAAACACCCTGTATATTGTACGTACTCTAGTGGTAGTGCCTTACGCCGATAATTCTTACTCCAAGCCGGCCTAGAAGAGTTCCAGAAATGATCGGGGTGAGATATGAAGCCCTGGCGAATTGAGTAACAGTGTCTGGCCAATCAATCTGTCGGCCTGGGGTATTGGGGGATCTTTCTCCTTGTTGAGGGCCAAAGAGATTCGAACTTCCAAATACTTTTGGTGGACAAAGATCCGCTGTATAGCCTTGAACAGACTGTCGGGGCGAGTGCTGCTAGCGAGCACCACATAATGAAGGCCGGCACGGCACACGAGGGGGTGGGTGGCCAAGCACCACTCCCGACCGCCTTTGTCTCCCTCGCGGCGATGTTCACACACCGCACCAGGTTACTCTTTGATGGCGAAGTCGGCTTAGGTGGAGGAGGCCCAGGATCGGTTCGGATAATTAATCAGTCGTGACAGGTGGTTGATGGTGGTCGTGAGGGTGGGGATCGAACCAGGGGAGGGGGGGGGGGGGTCATTGCCAGGGTTCGTAGCGTGAACGCGCGAACCGCTCCACTGCTACCGTGTGGACATCCACGCAATGACGCAACACTCCCCCCACCCCTCCACCGCCACTCTACGTTCATCAATCACGACGCACGGCGCCACTTAACGACCGACTGTAAAGACGCCCCCCGTGCAGTGACGGCGGTGGCAGGCGGCGAGACGCTATCTCATTACAGCGTCGATTCAATATTCAACCTCCAGTATCCGATTTAGCGCGGATGAGATGCTTGCAGGTGGCAGACACGTGTCATCCGCCGGGTCGTTAGGAGGTGCTAGGACCCCAGGGGGCTCTGGGGCTGCACGCGGCTCTTTGGCTTCCACCTTCGCCAGTGTCCTGGAGTAAGCTAGTGCGGGGGGCCTGTAACAAGTGTTGTTATAAAGGGGCCCTAAATAAATAAAAAAATGTAAATTTTTAAACGCAATTTTTGTTTACTTGCATAGTAGAGTAATTGTATTTTTTTCATTTGCTATACAGCCAGATAATACGACAAATCGCTAACCTTAAACACCCGGTCGTTCATAAACGTTGAAGGCAGTATAGTACTATAGTAATAGAAGCAAGTGCAGAATCACTGAACCGGAATTGATAGCTTGAAAGCATTTAGCGCGGGGGGAGCCTTGAAAGTGCGGGGCCCGTAGCTACTACAGACGTAGCTACTACAGATGTAGCTACTACATATGTAGCTACTACACGTGTAGTTAATTTTGCTACTCGGATAATCCGGCACTGCCCTTTGCGGGCAGCCGATTTTTTTGTGTTTGTTTGTTAAACTTATATCCGAAACGTAATTTAACGTAAACATATAATTGGTTTAAATAAGACAGGGAATGGGTCTCCATGTAATGTCTTGGTGACAACACCATGTACAGCAGTCGAACTGTATCGTTAAAGAATAACTAAGGGGGGGGGCGGGGGTGGCTAAATAGACGCAGTATATTCCACCACCTATTTTGTGTGATTTCAGTCAGAGCGTGTGTGTCACTTTGCCGTACACCCGCTGCTGCGTCTGCGTCTGTGTACAAGTAGCCCTGCGCGTGTGATGCGGCTCTCGAACTATTTTAGTCAAAGACGTTCAAAGGTTGCCCGACCCCCCCCGACCCCCCCCCCCCCCGTGCTCGACCCTCAACTCCGTAGTAGCCGCGCGACAGGACGTCTCGTGCCGCGTCCGACCCGCGGTGTCGTAGATTCCACAGCACTGCCCCGAGCTCGCCGCGGTCGATAAAACGAGTACCGCTTTGTGTGCATGTCCAACTTCTTTTGCGCCGCACGTCACCGACCGTGCTAATCGGAGGACGACAAACCTTGAAGGAAGAGCAAAACACCGAACTTTCCCCGTCGTCGGAACGTGGAATTTCCACCACTAACTCAAACAACTCGCTATTCATTTGGGACGCTCTCAGCAACAGCTGACATTTTTACATTTCGATTTAAAGCTTTCGTGACTGCAAGGATTCATCTTCTTTGGTTCTTTCGGTAAGGTCACGTAGAATGAGAATAAAATAATAAAATAACACAATAAAATTCTCACGACGTTTCGGCCACAACACAAGTGGCCTTCATCAGGTGAAGGGACCGTGCTGTCATGAGGACAGCGTTGGAGTGAAAACAGCCAAGCCCAGGTCGCGTCCATTAAGCTGTGTGGGAGGAAGCAAAACGCTTTGACAAAGGAATTAGCATAAAAATGACCATGATGTACGTAGGAGGTGCATGGGCCATGATGGACCAGGAGCGGGTGGGGACCACGATGGACCAGCAGCGGGGGGGGAGTGAGTGGAGTGAGTGAGAGGAGTGAGTGAGTGGAGTGAGTGAGTGAGTGGAGTGAGTGAGTGAGTGGAGTGAGTGAGTGAGTGGAGTGAGTGAGTGAGTGGAGTGAGTGAGTGAGTGGAGTGAGTGAGTGGAGTGAGTGAGTGAGTGGAGTGAGTGGGGTGAGTGGAGTGAGTGAGTGAGTGGAATGAGTGAGTGGAGTGAGTAGGTGGAGTGAGTGAGTGGAGTGAGTGAGTAAGTGGAGTGAGTGAGTGGAGTGAGTGGAGTGAGTGAGTTGAGTGAGTGGAGTGAGTGAGTGGAGTGAGTGAGTGAGTGGAGTGAGTGGAGTGAGTGGAGTGAGTGAGTGAGTGGAATGAGTGAGTGGAGTGAGTAGGTGGAGTGAGTGAGTGGAGTGAGTGAGTGAGTGGAGTGAGTGAGTGAGTGGAGTGAGTGGAGTGAGTGAGTGGAGTGAGTGGAGTGAGTGAGTGGAGTGAGTGAGTGTAGTGAGTGGAGTGAGTGAGTGGAGTGAGTGGAGTGAGTGAGTGGAGTGAGTGAGTGGGGTGAGTGAGTGAGTGGAGAGAAATAAGCAGCTGTGAAAGTTTGTGGTACCACTACTTGAAAAAAATTACTGTACCATTGAAAATTAGTTTAATGTTTGGTTTGATTTAGAACATCTTTCCAATGATTGCTTAATTTGAAACCATCCTCTCGGTTGAAATTGTGTCTGTGTTTGTAAATCTGAATTGCCTCGTGGACAAATCTCTGATACATACCCGTGGGATACCAAGGTTCTCTGCAAACCCACGGGTTTTTATCAGAGATTTGTCCACGAGGCAATTCAGATTTACAAACACAGACACAATTTCAACCGAGAGGATGGTTTCAAATTAAGCAATCATTGGAAAGATGTTCTAAATCAAACCAAACATTATACACATTTTCAATGGTACAGTAATTTTTTTTCAATTAGTGGTACCCTAAACTTTCACAGCTGCTTATTTCTCTCCACTCACTCTACTCACTCACTCACTCCACTCACTCCACTCACTCACTCCACTCACTCCACTCACTCACTCCACTCACTCCACTCACTCACTCACTCCACTTACTCACTCCACTCACTCCACTCACTCTACTCACTCACTCCACTCACTTACTCACTCCACTCACTCATTCCACTCTCACTCCACTCACTCACTCCACTCACTCACTCCACCTACTCACTCCACTCACTCCACTCACTCACTCCACTCACTCACTCCACTCACTCACTCCACTCACTCCACCTACTCACTCCACTCACTCACTCCACTCACTCCACTCACTCACTCCATTCACTCCCCCCCCCCCCCCCCCCCGCTGCTGGTCCGTCATGGTCCCCACCCGCTCCTGGTCCATCATGGCCCATGCACCTCCTACGTACATCATGCTCATTTTTATGCTAATTCTTTGTCAAAGCGTTTTGCTTCCTCCCACACAGCTTAAAGGACGCGACTTGGGCTTGGCTGTTTTCACTCCAACGCTGTCCTCATGACAGCACGGTCCCTTCACCTGATGAAGGCCACTTGTGTTGTGGCCGAAACGTCGTGAGAATTTTATTGTGTTATTTTATTATTTTATTCTCATTCTACGTGACCTTACCGAAAGAACCAAAGAAGAAAAAAAACAGCTGACATTGCCTTGAGCTGGCTTCTCGTTGCCGAGTTGACGGCTGTCACCTGACCGTCTTCGACCGCGTAGGTTTCGGTTCGAGCGGTGCAGGATGAGCTTACCTTGGGAGCGGTGTCCAACGCTGCTCTACGGCGAGGGTGGAGATCCTCGGCAGCGGTGGGGGTGGCAGGATGGTTTTGGTGGTAACGGTAGTTGGTGGTTGTGGTTGTATGGGCAGGTATTGATGGTGGTGGTGGTTTAGGTGGCGGTGATGATGGGGTTAATGGTAGTGGTGGTATTAGTGGAGCTATTGGTGACCGCGGAATGTGTGGCGGTAGTTTTGGTGAAATCGGTGATGGCTTTGAGGCTGCGCGTGGCTGGTGGTGGTCGTTGTGGCGGTACAGGTGCGGGTGGAGGTCTGTAGTGGTGTTGGTGGTGTTCGTAGATATATGGGTGGTGGATTTGGTTAAGTGGTAGATCGGTGGTGGTGGTGGCAATAGTAGTGTTGGCGGTATGTTTATGTGGTCTTAGCGGTGGCTGTAGGGATATGAGTGGTGGTGGCAGTGCAAGAGCTATGGGGGTGTCAGTGGAAGAGTTAAGAGTGGTGTGGTGGTGGTGTGTGGGTGGAGCTGGTAATGACCGTTGGTTGAACGGTATTTGAGTGGCCGTAACTTTCTTTCAAATTGCACCCAAACTGTAAAAAAACTGCACCTCCCGATTAGTACGGTTGGCTACGTACGGTAAGAAAGAAGTTCAACATACAAGGCGGACAGCAGAAAGTGGTCAAACCCCTACCAAGGGAAGTCTCACCGAGACACTTTATTTCTGGATTGGGATGTTTGGCCAATTAATTTTTATGTACAGTACTGTATTTTATCTGTAGGGCTTCATGTATTTCAGGGTCGCTGGTAGATTGTGGAACAGACACGTGACCTGCCAACGCAGAAGTAGCACCACCAAATAAATTATATAAATGATTGTACACCACTCACGATCGATAAACATATTCCGTAGATTATAAGACGGCTTTTTTGTCTGTACTGTATCGTGTATCAAAAGTTCTTGGTTTCCCAAGTGTGATCCAGCTGGCCAGGAATGGGCAAAACTAACATTACAACTAACATTAACACATTTAAGAATTACAGTTAAGAGACACAATATCCAGTACATACTATTTAAAAATAAGGAATAGAAAATGCTGTAAAAAATTTAACTAAAATTTAACTTGGGTACACTTTGGAAATGCGCACGTGGGCATGGCTTACTCTTGATTTTGGGGTACCCTTTGCAAGAGTGCTTTGAGAATATCGGGGCTGGGTTTACGAGAGGCTGAACATGTGATGGTTAATCTCAACTTAAATTTACAATCCCACCTTTTTGCAGCTTGGAACTTATATTTTTTTTATTTAATATAGAGTTTGCCCAACAGTTTATTAAAAAAAAACACTTTAGAAGCGGGTAGCGTGTGTACACCCTGGAGGAATACAGACGTGCGTCATTGACCCGATCCCTGAGTGAGTGGTAAACACGCGCTCGCACACACGAGGCTCTCTTGTGTATGTGTGTCAACAACAAAAAAATGTATTCTTTACTCAATTACCACGGGACTCGGGAGGCCGGTTAATTCACTCATTTTAGTGAAGGCGGTCGCTGATGAATTAATTGCTCCGTGGAAATGTGAGCTTTTTGCCGGCTCTCTTTTTGGATGAACGTTTGATTTTTTTTTGCCACGTTTTGGTTCCGAGCCAGTTCCGTTATTTCATCGCACAACTCCACCTAATCATTAGCGTGGTCGTGTGGAGAATTATAAATAACGCGTACGATACCCCCTCTCCCTTAATATCGTCTCTCAATCAAAGAAGAAAAAAGTAATACTCAGAAATACTCTTTTTTTAAACACGCTTTAATGAAATGTACCGTACGAGTAATGGCAGAACTCCACGACTTCAGGAAGCGGCCCCGAGGCTTGCCACAACGTAAGGGGGCCATGGTGATTTACAGCCAAAGTCAGTTGAGCGTGGACAATTAGACCCTGGCCGAAACATAACATATAAAAACTAATGTTTAAAAATACTTTTTGTATTTTCTTGACAGAATATAGTATTGTCATCAGTATGACATAAGTGTTGAGGCGTAAATGACGACTCGGAGGCAGATCTTCATGTAGGGGCTTGCGCCAGCTGTTTTATTAAGGACTTTTCTTCATACACCACGACTCCCGTGTACTGCACGCTCACTGCTTACACTCCACACCTTAGGGGAAGGGTACTGGGGAGGTCCCTAGCACACCCGCAGGCTACCCTAGCCTGGTGCCAATTTCCCCCTACCCCGGGGTCCCATCGCTCCCCCAGGGGAAGGGTACTGGGGAGGTCCCTAGCACACCCACAGGCTACCCTAGCCTGGTGCCAATTTCCCCCTACCCCGGGGTCCCAACTCCCAACTTTACAAGTTGCTGGCTACCCGCAACGACCTCGAACACGTCGTGAGAATTTTATTGTGTTATTATATTTTATTATTTTATTCTCATTCTACGTGACTTTACCGAAAGAACCAAAGAAGAAGACCTCGAACGCGTCACGGGTCCCAACCTAAATATTCCCAGGGGGACATGATGTCACCGTCCCGCCCCCTGTACATGACGTCACCATAAGTGACGTCATCGTGCCGGAGGGCGAGCGTGATATGACGTCACTAACTACTACCCTACGTAAGTATACCACGTTTGCAGTCGATACCACATTGGGAAGTGGGTTAAAATTGAGTTACAATATTTGGGGATAAAACAACGACAACGACGACGACGACAACAGAGTGAGTTAAATAAAAGCGTGCAAAAAAAACCCACCCCCAAAGTATTACAACAAGCCAATCGCGCGGCGTTACTCCGTGCGTGCAGAATTCCAGGTGAGCAAGGTGAGTGTGGCGCTGGGAAGGGAGATCGAGGGACACGAGATGGTCTTTTTTTTATCGGAGATCTGTCCGACTAATAAGGTGAGAGGGAGCCCGGGTTTAAATGCTTAGAGCAACGGCAGCTTAAACTTGCACGGACAAGCGAAAGACTTGCAGAGAAACCCTTAGACCGGCATATACAATACGTGCAAATAGAGAGACTTTTATTGATTTACAAGAAAGACATTCATTTTTTTTAATGGCAACTGTTGTATGTGACGCCTTGTTTTTTCCCCCAAAAAACTTATCTCCACCAACTTCTGTGGCTGCGGTGTAGAACCTCAACTCGGTGGCAGCGTCCGTGGAGATCGACTGAATGAGAGCTGTCGTGCGTGTCTGTACGTGAGCTGTCGTGTGTGTCTGTACGTGAGCTATCGTGTGTGTCTGTACGTGAGCTGTCGTGCGTGTCTGTACGTGAGCTGTCGTGCGTGTCTGTACGTGAGCTATCGTGTGTGTCTGTACGTGAGCTGTCGTGTGTGTCTGCACGTGAGCTGTCGTGCGTGTCTGCACGTGAGGTGTCGTGTGTGTCTGTACGTGAGCTGTCGTGTGTGTCTGCACGTGAGCTGTCGTGCGTGTCTGCACGTGAGGTGTCGTGTGTGTCTGTACGTGAGCTGTCGTGTGTGTCTGCACGTGAGCTGTCGTGTGTGTCTGCACGTGAGCTGTCGTGCGTGTCTGCACGTGAGCTGTCGTGCGTGTCTGCACGTGAGCTGTCGTGTGTGTCTGTACGTGAGCTGTCGTGTGTGTCTGTACGTGATCTATCGTGCGTGTCTGTACGTGAGCTGTGGTGCGTGTCTGTACGTGAGCTATCGTGCGTGTCTGTACGTGAGCTGTCGTGCGTGTCCGTACGTGAGCTATCGTGCGTGTCCGTACGTGAGCTGTCGTGCGTGTCTGTACGTGAGCTGTCGTGCGTGTCTGTACGTGAGCTGTCGTGTGTGTCTGCACGTGAGCTATCGTGCGTGTCTGCACGTGAGCTGTCGTGCGTGTCTGTACGTGAGCTGTCGTGCGTGTCTGTACGTGAGCTATCGTGCGTGTCTGCACGTGAGCTATCGTGCGTGTCTGTACGTGAGCTATCGTGCGTGTCTGTACGTGAGCTGTCGTGTGTGTCTGCACGTGAGCTATCGTGCCTGCGCGCGTGCGCTCCGTGTGGATGGAGCGATCAGATCCTGCGCGACGTGGTGATGTACATCTTGCAGTTGGCGCAGCGATGCTCCACGTCCTTGCACGAGTCCACGACGAGCGGGATCCACACGCACAGCCACAGCCTGCGGCGCGGGGCGAGATGGGAGAGACGTGAAGGAGGAGGAGGGGAGGGTGGGTTGGAGAGATGGGTGCTGTGCTGGGGGCGGGCGGGGGGAGATGGAGGGGGAGACGGGGGGCAGGTGACGAGAAGGAATGACAGCCACAGTCTGTGGGGAACGGAGAGCTCGTGGTGTGATGGTGAGGATTTGGCGACGGATGGGGGGGGGGATGGAGAGGGGGATGCGGGTTTGTGGTGGGGATAGGAGGAGTGATGGGGGGATGCAGGTGATGGGATGGATGGTAGAGAAGGGGGAGAAAGATGGGAGGGGGGGGAGATGCAAACACGCCCTAGGCGCAGCCGTCTTACACCACATGTATTTATTTTCTGGAGCCCTGCCACGAAGCAAACAGCAGCAGCAACAGCAGCAACAACAGCAGGAGCAACAGCAGCAGCAGCAACAGCAGCAGCAGCAATAACAGCAGCAGCAACAACAGCAGCAGCAGCAGCAATAGCAACAACAGCAGCAACAGCAGCAGCAACAACAGCAGCAACAGCAGCAGCAGCAACAGCAGCAGCAATAGCAGCAACAGCAGCAACAGCAGCAGCAGCAACAGCAGCAGCAATAGCAACAACATCAGCAACAGCAGCAGCTCCTCTCCGTGTGGGTGGAGGTGGTGGTGGGGGGGTGCTGCTGCTGCTGCAACGTCGCCTCACCCGACCAGACAGAGGCCGCCCATGATCAGCCACGTGAGGAGTCCCGGCTGGGTGCTCGTCTCGGTTTGCACCATCTGGCGGCACGACGGACACGTGGTGGTGACGGGGTTGAACGACGTGGGCTGGTGCTGCACCACCACTAACCCCGTGGTGGTGGTGGACACCGGCGGTAGCTGCACCACCGTCGCCGACGGTTGTGTCATGTACACCGTGGTAGCTGCGAGACAGGCGCACGCGGTTGGGACATGGTACGGGGTGGGTAGAGAGGGCACAGGGTAGAAATTATTTTTACTCCTGGCCGTGTGCTTCTATTGTTGTTGTAACGTTCAGATGTGTCTAGTACCCCCCCCTTCCCCCCACCGCTTACTGGACAAGGAGCTTCATAGCTCATCTGATTCCTTTGGTATAAATAAAATATTCAGATTCTGATCTGCCAGATCTGACCCGTGTCAGCCCAGGGCTCGCCGAGCTGCTCTTGGCTCCACCGGCTGCCTGCCGAACGAATGCACGAGAAGGTCGCGCTCATTGCACACAAAGTTATCGCAGAACAAACGAACCCCGCAGGGCTATTAGAAAGCCACCGGAGCGATGAACATTAAAATCGAGGTTGAAAACTAATTTCTGTACAACGGTGTTTTGTGTTGAGTTTTGTTCTTCCTCCCCCCCCCCACCACCGCCACCTCCAATTAGCACGTACGGTATTAAAACATTTCTACATACGTACAACCCGTGGCACCTGGATCTTGTCCCGTGACCACCTGCCAGCGAACCTTCCGACACGCCACGTGGCCTCAAAGTGCACCTAGCCTGGCACAAGCGCTGCGGTGACGCCTCAAATAAATAGCTGGCGTGCCTTATAAGCATCGGTACTGGGAAGACAAAGACGGACGGGCGTGGTGGTGGCGGCCACACCACCCACTTAGGTCTGTTTGCTCAACCCCACACACGCAGCAGTGGCAACGGCATTTCGGCTTCAACGATCAAGACATCTCCGAGGTCTGTCTCCGCCCGGAGTTTGTGCGACTCACCTCCTTGCATTGGTGCCGGATTGTTGCTGCCCTCCTGGCCCGCGTATGCCGGTGGTTGCTGCATGGGGTAGTAGACGCCCTGGTGGTCGCTCTTTGGATTCGGGGAAGCCATCGCCGCTCCTTGACAAGCTGTATTTCTTCTGACCAGCGCGCACGCACGGGAGACGAAGACCTCTTTCGAGCGATTTGGTAGAAGAAGAGTGAGGGAAAATACGAATACGGGCTCCCCTATCGTGCCGCCGTGAGTAATTGCAATGATTTTTTTCCGTAATAATGTGGATGGGTTGTAAATGACGCGGACTAAGCCTGCGCCGATAGGAGCCTGTGTTTGCTTTGTGGGTGTCTGCCGCCCGCACCCCGATTAACCAGGTTTGTGTGTTTAATTTGATGGTGTAATCGCAGTCACCGTTGACGGCACAGAAAACCCCCCACGGTATTCATTTGTGTTTTCCTCCACAATTTGTACGCCTAAATATTGCAGCTGTGTGTAATTAAACAGGTTGTTTTGATTGACCAGGAATGAACACACTTTTGCCGGACATCTAATATGTGTGCCCCTTGTGCGGATTAACACTCCAAATGACGTGACTTCAGGAGTAGTTCTCTGATGTTCTCTTCCAGGGTTTATGCTCTGACACAAGGTGGTGCAATGCTGGCTGTGAATATTAATGATACATATTTTGAAAGCATTTTGATTGAGCCCACTTGCATTCATGGGAATTTTTCTTTTTTATATATATACAAAAAATTTGAGTTGTTCGGTGATGCTGCATTGGCGGTGGTGCATACGCACAATTAACATTCAAAAACTCAACACGTTCATCAATAACACCGTGGCCTTAAAATGCATAAAAGGCAACGTTTCTGGTGATAGCCCTTCTTCGTAGCACACATATAGATGCCACCCTGTCTCCAGCATCTCCATGTGCTTTAAAGAACGGCAATTCCCCGAAACGTCGCCGATTATATATATATTTTTCTAAGGCCACAGTTATTGATGATTGCGTTTTTTGAGTTTATGTTTAAATATTTATGTCAGTGCGGTAATTTTTATTTTATTCTGGAACGCGGCTACTCTCCTCCCGATTTTGTGTTCATATTTTTTCGCCGTGTTTTCGTAGCGGTGACCCAGGTGACACTCTTGCAAATGCGACTAATTCTACTTACTTGGGTTCTCATGCCAGTAACATAAATTCATTAAAGACATTAGATATTTGATTTGTTTTTCCCCCACACGCGCAATGGCTTGGCACCGACAGCACGAGTGGCATGGAGCTGGTCAGGAAATTGCAAAGACCTTGATGTTTGGAATCCTTTCGATTTCCGTGGCCTCAAGCCCAATCTTCCAAAGCTCCCTCAATCAAATTCCCCTCTTTATCTGTACAGTCTCTCGATGTGGCCCTAATTATACCGATCTTTCATAAATACATCGTACATTGGAAATGTCGCCACGTGTGGGGGGGGGGGGGGGGGGGGGTGCTGAAACATCCCTCTTGATATGCATTTAATTACCGGCAGCGCGTTTCATCACTCAAGTGCGACACCGCAGGGAAAACTGAACTGATGCTGCCTCGCCGGGCATGGTGAAGTATGGTCAAACACCACACCCCCCCCACCCCCCCCCCCCCCCCCCCCCCCAGTGACCGACATGATACAGCACTGCACAATGGAAAATTAGAAAAAGTTATTTTATACGGCGCGCGACAAAGCCCTCTTGCGAGATGCGATTTGTATAAAGGTGGAGTCACACCCCTCCCCTCCCACGTGCCATGGGATAAATGTGGTAAATGCGTTTTAGAGGTTTTTTTTAATACATGACATTTTATGGCGATTACTTGGGGCTTTAAAACTCCACGTCGGCCTGTTGTGTAACCGTGACGCGGGGTGTTTGTGCTTGCGGCCGTGTTTGTGCCAACAGCTCAGGGAGTGAAGGAGTCGTGAAGGGAAAAAAAGGCCGCAACTTAGCGAGGTGGCGGACGTATCAATGGAACTGCTGTGGACGATCTCTCTCCTGGACATGTTCGCTGCCTTTGACTGCCACTCGGTCGCTAGTCTCGGCCACTGGCCATCGCCCCTTCGAGTGACGAGTCCTGCCCATACCCATGTTGTTATCCACTCCATCGCAGCACACGCTGTATACAGATTCACAAGCGTTGTGGTGTCCTCCCAGAAAAACTCCACGTGCGGCTCAATCTTGAGCCAGCGCAGGATGTAGTGTAGTCTCACACGAGTCGAGTAGCCTACACGAGGTTACTTTTGAGCCCTTGATTAGAAATTCCCCTTGCACGGTATCCGTGCCGCAGCCTGGGCCAATCTTTGAAGTCTGTCACAGAGGGTGGTGCGACCAATGGTTTAAGAATTTCTCTAATCGATTGACACTAACCCTAACTGATAACCTTTAACCCTCTAAATCTAGCCCTATCCCCAGCATGATATCGTCTCTTTATTAATAGAGCACACATATGTTGGCCCTGTCATGTGTGTGTATGTATATATTAAGTAGTGTAAAGGTTAGTGCGCTGCGATACGAACCCTGGTGGACCCGAGTTCGATTCCCGCTCACGGCCGACACAGGTGACGATTATTTGAACCGGTCCTGGACCTCCCCTGGGTCAACTCAGTCTCAAATGAGTACCTGTTGCGGTGTGTAAACATCGCCACTAGGGAGACAAAAGCGGTCTGGCGTGGTGCTGGCCACCCACCCCCTCGTGTGCCACAGTGCCAGCGGCCTTCATTGGTGCTACTCGCTAACAGCACTCGCCCCAACAGTCTGTTAAGGCTGGGCGGAGGATGTCCATCTTTGCTTATAGAAGTATACGGTATACGTGTGTCTGTAGGATACGGAGCAACTGTTAACGCAGTTGTCAACTTTGTCATGCTGTAATATCATTCATATTGTACACTGGCCATTAGCTGACAGCGGTCCCCAACCTTTTTGGCACCAGGGACCGGTTTCGTGGAAGACAATTTTTTCACGGACCGGGGGGGGGGGGGGGGGGGTTCATCATTGTGTCTTTCCCTCTTTTTCGAAGCTTTCCAGCGACGTTTGTTTTTTACTCATTGTGGCTACTAGGGGTTAGAGCTTGTGGGCTTACTCATTTTGGCTACTAGGGGTCAGCTTGTGGGCTTACCAACACTGTGACTGAGACAAGTGCGCGGTGCGGGAAAGAGGCGCGGACGAAAGTGGTGAATAATAAAATAATGGGGGCAGGTTCCACGTGCGGACTCACCGCTCTCACCTCCTGCTGCTGTGCGGCCCGGTTCCTAACAGGACACGGACCGGTCCGCGGCCAGGGGGTTGGGGACCCTCTGCGATCAGCAGACTTAACAGGGACTAAAGTTAGCTTCATACCAGCCGCTAACCGTCACGGTTGGACTCCCAGCCGATGGCGTAAATCGTCCCGGAGTGCGCCCAAATCTGGTCGGTTCTCGAAAGGTTCTCGAAGGGCCAAATCAGCGTCGAGCCCCGGTGCGACGCTGGGCGACCACCGTGCAACGAGGTGGAAAAGGCAGCAACTCAGGGCAGCGCTGACCAAACAAAGCGTTTGGAAAAAAAAAACCAGAACAAGAAACGGTCTCACCCTTTCTGGCAGTAGAAACAGGGAGGTGTGTGTCATGCAATGTTTAACCACCAAACAGAAACATTTATTTGCGATGAATCAAGTTGCCGCATTCACCGCGCGTTTGTTTGCATATGCGGTCAATGCGGTGAACTTGATTCCTTGCAAGAAAAAAATGTTTTCTATTTCGCGGTCAAACATCCTAACGCAACTCCTGCCGTTTGATTGACAGGAAGGGTGGAGCCGGTTCTTATTTTTGACGACGTCCGTTTGTCCCACGTGGTCGCTCGCTCGTTGTGCCTTCTTGCCTCCCCTGCGCGTGAACAACCTCACCCACCACACGTAAACAATCGCCTTCGCATTAACAACCTGCAGCTTCCGTTCCCGCCCCCCCTCTTAAAGCAACCCCCGTCTCTTACTCCCCTAGTCCATCACCCCCCCCCCCTCCCCACCACCCGTCGCCAGCTACAACCAGGACTATCCCCATCCAAGTTGCTTCCCCTATCACTACCCCAACCACTACCACTACCCCTATCACTACCCCAACCACTACAACTGCCCCAACCCCTATCACTACCCCAACCACTGCCACTACCCCAACCACTACCACTACCCCAACCACTACCACTACCCCTATCACTACCCCAACCACTACCACTACCCCAACCACTATCACTACCCCTATCACTACCCCAACCACTACCCCTACCACTACCCCAACACCTATCACTACCCCAACCACTACCACTACCCCAACCACTACCCCAACCACTACCACTACCCCAACCACTACCACTACCCCAACACCTATCACTACCCCAACCCCTATCACTACCCCAACCACTACCACTACCCCAATCACTACCACTACCCCAACCCCTATCACTACCCCAACCACTACCACTACCCCAACAACTATCACTACCCCAACCCCTATCACTACCCCTATCACTACCCCGACCACTACCACTACCCCAACCACTACCACAACCCCTATCACTGCCCCAACCCCTATCATTACCCCAACCACTACCCCAACCCCTATCACTACCCACTACCACTACCCCAACCCCTATCACTACCCTAACCACTACCCCAACCACTACCCCTATCACTACCCCAACCACTACCACTACCCCAACCCCTATCACTACCCCAACCACTGCCACTACCCCTACCACTATCACTACCACTACCCCTATCACTACCCCAACCATTACCACTACCCCAACCACTACCCCTACCACTACCCCAACACCTATTACTACCCCAACCACTACCCCAACCACTACCCCAACCACTACCACTACCCCTATCACTACCACTACCACTACGCCAACCCCTATCACTACCCCAACCACTACCCCAACCCCTATCACTACCCCAACCACTACCCCAACCCCTATCACTACCCCAACCACTACCACTACCCCAACCCCAATCACTACCCCAACCACTACTACTACCCCAACCCCTATCACTACCCCCAACCACTACCACTACCCCAACCCCTATCACTACCCCAACCACTACCACTACTCCAACCCCTATCATTACCCCAACCACTACCACTACCCCAACCACTACCCCTATCACTACCCCAACCACGACCACTACCCCAACCCCTATAACTACCCCAACCACTACCACTACCCCAACCCCTATCACTACCCCAACCACTACCACTACCCCAACCCCTATCACTACCCCAACCACTACCACTACCCCAACCCCTATCACTACCCCAACCCCTATCACTACCCCAACCACTACCACTACCCCAACCCCTATCACTACCCCAACCACTACCACTACCCCAACCCCTATCACTACCCCAACCACTACCACTACGCCAACCACTACTATTACCCCTATCACTACCCCAACCACTACCCCAACCCCTATCACTACCCCAACCACAACCACTACCCCTATCACTACCCCAACCACTACCACTACCCCTATCACTACCCCAACTTCTATCACTACCCCAACCACTGCCACTACCCCAACCCCTATCACTACCCCACCCACTACCACTACCCCAACCACTATCATTACCCCAACCACTGCCACTACCCCAACCACTACCACTACCCCAACCACTACCACTACCCCAACAACTATCACTACCCCAACCCCTATCACTACCCCTATCACTACCCCGACCACTACCACTACCCCAACCACTACCACAACCCCTATCACTGCCCCAACCCCTATCATTACCCCAACCACTACCCCAACCCCTATCACTACCCACTACCACTACCCCAACCCCTATCACTACCCTAACCACTACCCCAACCACTACCCCTATCACTACCCCAACCACTACCACTACCCCAACCCCTATCACTACCCCAACCACTGCCACTACCCCTACCACTATCACTACCACTACCCCTATCACTACCCCAACCATTACCACTACCCCAACCACTACCCCTACCACTACCCCAACACCTATTACTACCCCAACCACTACCCCAACCACTACCCCAACCACTACCACTACCCCTATCACTACCACTACCACTACCCCAACCCCTATCACTACCCCAACCACTACCCCAACCCCTATCACTACCCCAACCACTACCCCAACCCCTATCACTACCCCAACCACTACCACTACCCCAACCCCAATCACTACCCCAACCACTACTACTACCCCAACCCCTATCACTACCCCCAACCACTACCACTACCCCAACCCCTATCACTACCCCAACCACTACCACTACTCCAACCCCTATCATTACCCCAACCACTACCACTACCCCAACCACTACCCCTATCACTACCCCAACCACGACCACTACCCCAACCCCTATAACTACCCCAACCACTACCACTACCCCAACCCCTATCACTACCCCAACCACTACCACTACCCCAACCCCTATCACTACCCCAACCACTACCACAACCCCAACCCCTATCACTACCCCAACCCCTATCACTACCCCAACCACTACCACTACCCCAACCCCTATCACTACCCCAACCACTACCACTACCCCAACCCCTATCACTACCCCAACCACTACCACTACGCCAACCACTACTATTACCCCTATCACTACCCCAACCACTACCACTACCCCAACCCCTATCACTACCCCAACCACAACCACTACCCCAACCCCTATCACTACCCCAACCACTACCACTACCCCTATCACTACCCCAACTTCTATCACTACCCCAACCACTGCCACTACCCCAACCCCTATCACTACCCCACCCACTACCACTACCCCAACCACTATCATTACCCCAACCACTGCCACTACCCCAACCACTACCACTACCCCAACCACTACCACTACCCCTATCACTACCCCAACCACTACCACTACCCCAACCACTATCACTACCCCTATCACTACCCCAACCACGACCCCTACCACTACCCCAACACCTATCACTACCCCAACCACTACCACTACCCCAACCACTACCCCAACCACTACCACTACCCCAACCACTACCACTACCGCAACACCTATCACTACCCCAACCCCTATCACTACCCCAACCACTACCACTACCCCAACCACTACCACTACCCCAACCCCTATCACTACGCCAACCACTACCACTACCCCAACCACTATCACTACCCCAACCCCTATCACTACCCCTATCACTACCCCGACCACTACCACTACCCCAACCACTACCACAACCCCTATCACTGCCCCAACCCCTATCATTACCCCAACCACTACCCCTATCACTACCCCAACCACTACCACTGCCCCTATCACTACCCTAACCGCTACCACTACCCCAACCACTACCCCTATCACTACCCCAACCACTACCACTGCCCCAACCCCTATCACTACCCCAACCACTATCACTACCACTACCCCTATCACTACCCCAACCACTACCCCAACCACTACCCCTACCACTACCCCAACACCTATCACTACCCCAACCTCTACCCCAACCACTACCCCAACCACTACCACTACCCCTATCACTACCACTACCACTACGCCAACCCCTATCACTACCCCAACCACTACCCCAACCCCTATCACTACCCCAACCACTACCCCAACCCCTATCACTACCCAACTACTACCACTACCCCAACCCCAATCACTACCCCAACCACTACTACTACCCCAACCCCTATCACTACCCCCAACCACTACCACTACCCCAACCCCTATCACTACCCCAACCACTACCACTACTCCAACCCCTATCATTACCCCAACCACTACCACTACCCCAACCACTACCCCTATCACTACCCCAACCACTACCACTACCCCAACCCCTATAACTACCCCAACCACTACCACTACCCCAACCCCTATCACTACCCCAACCACTACTACTACCCCAACCCCTATCACTACCCCAACCACTACCACTACCCCAACCCCTATCACTACCCCAACCCCTATCACTACCCCAACCACTACCACTACCCCAACCCCTATCACTACCCCAACCACTACCACTACCCCAACCCCTATCACTACCCCAACCACTACCACTACGCCAACCACTACTATTACCCCTATCACTACCCCAACCACTACCACTACCCCAACCCCTATCACTACCCCAACCACAACCACTACCCCAACCCCTATCACTACCCCAACCACTACCACTACCCCTATCACTACCCCAACTTCTATCACTACCCCAACCACTGCCACTACCCCAACCCCTATCACTACCCCAACCACTACCACTACCCCAACCACTATCACTACCCCAACCCCTATCACTACCCCAACCACTACCCCAACCACTACCACTACCCCAACCACTACCCCAACCCCTATCACTACCCCAACCACTACCCCAACCCCTATCACTACCCCAACCACTACCCCAACCACTACTACTACCCCAACCACTACCACTACCCCTATCACTACCCCAACACCTACCACTACCCCAACCACTACCACAACCACTACCCCAACCCCTATCACTACCCCAACCACTACCACTACCCCAACCCCTATCACTACCCCAACCCCTATCACTAACCCAACCACTACCACTACCCCAACCACTACCACTACCCCAACCCTATCATTACCCCAACCACTACCACTACCCCAACCACTACCCCTATCACTACCCCAACCACTACCACTACCCCAACCCCTATCACTACCCCAACCCCTATCACTAACCCAACCACTACCACTACCCCAACCACTACCACTACCCCAACCCTATCATTACCCCAACCACTACCCCAACCCCTATCACTACCCCTATCACTACCCCGACCACTACCACTACCCCAACCACTACCCCAACCACTACCACTACACCAACCCCTATCACTACCCCAACCACTACCACTACCCCAACCACTACCCCAACCCCTATCACTACCCCAACCACTACCCCAACCCCTATCACTACCCCAACCACTACCCCAACCACTACCACTACCCCAACCACTACCACTACCCCTATCACTACCCCAACACCTACCACTACCCCAACCACTACCACTACCCCAACCCCTATCACTACCCCAACCACTACCACTACCCCAACCCCTATCACTACCCCAACCCCTATCACTCCCCCAACCACTACCACTACCCCAACCACTACCCCAACCCCTATCACTACCACTATCCCAACCCCTATTACTACCCCAACCACTACCCCAACCCCTATCACTACCACTAACCCAACCCCTATTACTACCCCAACCACTACCCCAACCCCTATCACTACCACTACCACTACCCCTATCACTACCACTACCCCAACCACTATTACTACCCCAACCACTACCCCAACCCCTATCACGGCGGTTGGCGTGCGTCGCACACACACACTCAGTCGGAGACGAGGCAGTCGCAGGAGGCACCGTCCTCCCCTTTTATTGTTGTCAAGTTCACGCCACCATCGCGGGCCCCCTCTCTCTCATGACCACGCTGCTGCACGACCTGTCCCAGACACGGCCCTGTCCCAGACACGACCCTGTCCCAGACACGGCCCCGTCCCAGACACGGCCCCGTCCCAGACACGGCCCCGTCCCAGACACGACCCTGTCCCAGACACGACCCTGTCCCAGACACGACGCTGTCCCAGACACGGCCCCGTCCCAGACACGACCCTGTCCGCATTGCACCGACGGCGTCGACCGGGACAGTCAACCGCTGTCCGGCCGCATAACGATCGGGCGAAGGCGGCGGTGACGAGGGCGGTGATCGACAGCGACGACGAGACGAGTCCAATCCCAGAACCGGCAGCCCGGAGCTCTCGCTCTCCACTGCTTTTATTCACCTCGGCGCGGCTTGGCTCCGTCCTAACCGCGCCTCTCTTCTCGAACCCGCCAGAGGGTTCCAGGGGCCTCCCCACGAGGTCTACTGTGACCTTTGCCCCAGTTCCTCCGCCCTGCCGGCACACGCACACCGTGTAAATGCTCAACGGCGTGTGCGCTAAGTGACCTCCTGCAGTTACAGTCGGCGCTGTGTCACTACACTTGTATGCTGACGCAATTATTCTCCCCTCCCCGCTTTCCCAACCCGCACTGACCAGCGTGGTGAAGTATGGTCAAATAACTTGACCAGCGTGGTGAAGTATGGTCAAATATCCTGACCAGCGTGGTGAAGTATGGTCAAATAAACTGACCAGCGAGGTGGAGTATGGTCAAATATCCTGACCAGCGAGGTAAAGTATGGACTCTGAATCAGCTGAAGCAGGCTGTAGTTAACATAGCAAAGCAAATGAGTCTCTCATATTGTCTGTGTACTATGTTGATCTTCTTCCGCAACCGTACGTAGCCAACCCGTGCTAATCGGAAGCATCTCTCCTTTCATCTCGTTAACCTTATTATATTACACCTATTATCTAGAGATCTCACAAGGATTTCACGTATTACCTCGATAAGGGAGGACAACCTCAAAAATATTGTGGCTTTTAGAGGCCCCCCAATGGTACGAAATCCCCCACTGGCTGTGTGGCTACAACCCGACCGATGGGAGTAAAGATCAACCATCACTTCACACGTGGGAGCACAAGGCACGTTTTATTCTGTCCCTGGGTCGTGACAACACGCGATCTTGTGAGTGCAGTGAACACAATCCAGATAGATGGTCAGCTAGATAGATCCTTTATTGTCATTGTCACCAGTACAACGAAATTTAAAGTGCTCACCAGTCAGTACATCATTCATAAATTTAAATAAAACAAGAAATGTAATCCAGTGGTTCTTAAGCTGGGGTGTCGCACACCCCTGTGGATGCCCTCTCTGGGTGTGCGAGACATGGCCAGATCTTTTTTCGAAGGTAAATCATCAAAAACACAAATTAAGCACGGAGCGGTTGTAGGGGTGGGGGAGGAGGGGGGACGGTGGAGAAGGCTCCCCTTCCTCCCCACGCTCGGCCGACTTCAATCCGTGGGCTCACGTGAAGGCGGCCGCCGCGATCACATGGGCGAGTGGGTGTAGAGGTGCGCCTTGCAATTGGGACACTTGTGGTGAACATCTTGGAAGGAGGGGATGCACAGCGGGATCCAGCAGAAGAGCCACGGCCTGGTGGGGGCGGGGCGCGGCGGGGTGAGAGGCGACGTGGGGAGAGGGCAGAGCATCAGAATTCGGATATTGATTTTTACTGCATGAGTCCGACGAGCGATAAAAAATATTTTTCACACGTGTCCAGTCGGGGGCACGGGGTCAGCACGCTAACTGCTAACTGCAAAACCACCGCTCCGGTAACAATTGCCGCTAAGTGGCGGTGAAGTCGTCACGGCGTTCGTGCCAGGCTCGGTGCACTTTGAGACCACGTGAAGTGTCGAAGGCGCTTCTGCTGGGAGCCAGTCACGGGACAGACCCAGCAGGTGCCATGGGTTGACTGTTGTGCCAGGTTAGGTGCAGGAGGAGGTCACGGGACAGATCCAGCAGGTGTCATGGGTTGACTGCTGTGCCAGGTTAGGTGCAGGAGGAGGTCACGGGACAGACCCAGGTGCCATGGGTTAACTGCTGTGCCAGGCTAGGTGCAGGAGGAGGTCACGGGTCAAGACCCAGGTGCCATGGGTTAACTGCTGTGCCAGGTTAGGTGCAGAAGGAGGTCACGGGACAGACCCAGGTGCCATGGGTTGACAGTTGTGCCAGGCTAGGTGCAGGAGGTCACGGGACAGAGCCAGGTGCCATGGGTTGACTGCTGTGCCAGGTTAGGTGCAGGAGGAGGTCACGGGACAGACCCACGTGTTGCCATGGGTTGACTGCTGTGCCAGGCTAGGTGCAGGAGGATGTCACGGGTCAGACCCAGGTGCCATGGGTTGATTGACTGAGATGAGACACACGGACACAACGCAGACTCACAGAATAAAAAACCAGCCGGTCAGAAATATGATGCCCACGGCGGACCAGGCGTAGGCACCGGCGCGCCTTTTCGTCTTGGTGGTCACCTCGTCGTGACAGTACGGGCAGGTGATGCGCACGGGGGAAGAAGAGCGAAGCGGCTGCTGCTGCTGCTGCATCATCACGGGCACCACGGGCACCTGCGTGCATGCCTGCGGCTGGGTCACGAACGTCTGCGTCGGGTACGTCATCGTCGTCGGCGCTGCACC